CAATCTATGCTTTCGTAGAACTGGCTTCTAAAGAACAGTGAGAAAACCCAATACCTATCTCCTGGACTCTTCCGAACCGAAGTCCCGAAATGTATTTGTACACACCATTCCAAGCCCTGATAAAAGGCAGACTGTTTCCCTTATGACTAAGTCCGATGACGAAACGCGTCAAGGGAAGTCAGACGCACACGAGAACCGGAAGTGGAGCGGCGGCCATCTTAATTAGTGGCAAGAAGCACACCAAACATTTTGGAGGCTCTTAGGACTACAGAAAGGTCTGATATTACTGGAACAATGCGGTTTTTTTAAAGGCTTATATATTGTGAGTGTATTCAATAAAGTATTTATATGGTGTATTGGCAGTATTACACTGTTATATTTCTCATATATTTTGGCATCTTGATGGAGTATGGTGTAAGGAGGATTATGGAGCTTGTATGCTGATGGACCCAGATGACAGAAGGAGAGAGGGTAATCCCTAAGGATATGTATATTGTATAGGGCGCTCTTGTTGGAGCCCAATTTCTGTAGCTGTAAGATAAAGGTGCCAGATGGATATCAGGGATGGATGGATGGGAGCAGTAACACTGAGGCAGCTCTTCTTAGAGTGGAAGCAAGGCTCTAATGCAGTAACAAGAAAAAGAGAGGAAGGCGCCTCTAAGTGTAGTATTAACAATTTATTAGTAGACAATGGAAAATTTGCACTTACAAGATAAATGGTTAAAAAGACTCATCGTGTGGTAATTGGATCCAGGTGGGACATCCAGCCGTCCAGCAGCAAGCTATGCCTATAGGATCAGGAAGTAGAGTCCAGGATGTGCCTGTGCATCAAAAATGAAGTTTGGAGAGCAGAGTCAGATGTAGCAGGTGAAAGGGGCGGTAATGCATTTCGGCGCATGCTCAATAGGCTCCTTCATCAGACCTATAGGCATAGCTTGCTGCTGGACAGCTGGATGTCCCACCTAGATCCAATTATCACACGATGAGTCTTTTTAACCGTTTATCTTGTAAGTGCAAATTTTCCATTGTCTACTAATAAATTGTTACTACTGCACTTAGAGGCGCCTTCCTCTCTTTTTCTTGTTATCCCTAAGGATCCTTTCATGAGGGCTGTATGACTGCCATATGATATCTGGATTAAGGCGAGATTATTTAGATGTTCTGCTAAGGGTATTTACTCCTTACTTTCAATAGAAGTGAACACTGTTTTTCACTTGTGTGGCACAACTTATGATTCACCAACATGTTTTGCACTTTATTCACTGCAGAGGTTTCACAAGTGTGACATTTAGCTGAGTGCATTCACCTATTGTTTTGTTCCATTTATTTATAAAGGATAATGCATGTATTTTTCTTTCTTTTTTTGAGGTGACTTTGATCGTGAAAGCCCGTGGGAGGCTTCAAATATTGGGATAATTGAGTGAAATCACCTGTATGATTTTTTGGAAAGACACTGGGGCTGTTACTACAATCTTTGGACTTTATAATAATTTTTTGGACTTAAATAATTTTGGATTTGATGGAGTTAGTTTATGGTTAGTTTATTTTTGTGTTAGGTGGCATATTTATGATTGTTATTTTAGACTGTTTCAACCCCCAAAATGCCTTGAATGTAATATCTAGTATTTTGGACTCTACAATTATTGGAGTGGTGTTCCCGTTCGAAACTTCTGGATGTTTCCCAGTGTCCCATGGTGTATGAGAGTTGCCTAACCAGAGCCGTCGTGTTCCATGAAGCAAGCCCTGTCTTATTGGACTGAAAAAAGACCCAATGCCTTACATCCCTTCCCCTCTGTACTGAAACAAAAAGGTATTTGCTTCCACCAGTCAAAGCCGTAGATATCTAAAATAAAAAAAAAATTAATATATATATATATTTTAACTTACGATTTATGATCAATTAGAAGCTCTGAACCATACGTGCATCCTCCCTCTCATTCGCAAATATATAAAGGGTTGACAAGGGTGAATTAAAAAAGACATTTGAAAGGCTAGTTAAATGCCATGTTACACAAACACAACTGAAAACATATACCATAGACAAGAAGAGATTGAAGATTGATCAAACCATGTCATATTCTAGGTGAAGAAACACAAAGAATTTTTGTTTTACGTTTTGCAGATTTAGACTTTTTGCGTTGCACACCTAGATCCTTTTCAAGGCAGTCTGACATGGTTAATTAGCACCAAAATTCTTGTTCAAAAATTTTAAAAAAATGGATCCCTTAATGAATGCACTGGTATCTTCAATGAATAAAAAAAAATTAAAACTAATGTTAAATTAAGTATTGTAAAGAAAACCCAACAATTCAAGAACCAATTACAGAGCCAGTTAAAAGAAAAAAAAAAAGATAGTTTGTCAAATACAGTTGTTCACAGGTTTACGTCAGGTTCAGCTCAGGATCTTATCTTGTTCACACATATGCGGTGTAGAAATGGTTCCCATCGAAGTCTGAACCTGAACCGGACTGCACTGCTCAGACATCAGACATGACTCTTTTTAAACCCGCACTAAATCCACACCGCCAGTGCACCGGACATGTGAGCAGGCACCATAGGAAGCAATATTTTTTCACGTCATGCGGATTGGATGCAGTCCAAACCGCATCCAATCCTCGTATATATGAACGGGCACGTAGCCTTACCCGGATGCTGGCAACATTAGGTTTTTATAAACAAACTACCTTGGTGACAACAGTTAAAAAGACATAGCTGGGTTTAAGCTAAGAATTTGTAATTTTTTTTTTCTTTCAAACAAAAATATTCCCAATGATATAACTTAAAACAGAATAACGGTGAAAAAAAAAAAATGTAAATGTGAAAATGATAGAAGAGGTTGTTGCTTAAGAATACCCATATTTTTTTTTCTTTTTTTTTCTCTCTGTTCTAAGTTTATTTTTTTTTCTGAGCAAAATACTAATCCGAGTTCAGTTAAACTGAACACTTCACATCTAGGCAACATCATCATTATCAATTAGATATAGTCAAATACAATATTGTACATAGATTTTTCTCCTATACAATATTTACAGCAAATTTAGAAAAAAAAAAATGTAGAAAAAAATACCACACACGCAAACGGTTTTATCTCCCCGAATAATGTCATCCCTCAAACATACTGGGAAAATATGATTTTAAATTGTCATCCAAGAACAAAAAAAAAGGGGGCACAATTGCCATGTAGTAATGATTAAATAAACGTTAGAACCATGACTTTAAAGAACAAAAAAAAAAAATCTTTTTAACTTTTTTCCACTCCTCTAAATTAAAGTAGCAGTATATCTCCACGCCATCAGCAACTACAGTGAAAAAAAAAAATGCACACACTTTTAAAATTCTACAATGTTAAAGAAAATATCTGAGTTTTTGACTGATAGCTATATTTCATAGTGCTGAAATGACTGGAGAGGACTTTACAAAGTGAGAGAGGAGGTAAATTTACTTATTCAGCTCAATGCTAATGGAATTGTTAGCAAATGTTTTGCAGTGCAGGACAACAGCAAAACACGGTTCTGAACAATACACTTTTTTTTTTTTTTTTACAGACTTCCAGTAGCACAGAGGGTGAATTAAGCCACAAAAGAAAGCTTCTTCCCAGATTAAAAGAAAGAAAAAAAAAAAAAATATTAAAAAATTGATAACACCATTTTTATGTTAAGGGATGCAACAGAATATATATATCGAATTAACCCCACAACATTAAAAATACTGAATGTAAGTACAATTAGATTACTCAAAATAGGGAATAAAATAAGGAACATGTCTCTTGATATTGGATTAACAAAGCTTTATTACTCTGTTGGCAAGAGGCTACAAAGCTTTTGCTCTTCACCCTAGATAAAATGAATATGTCCAATACAACAAAACACAGATATGGTACCATTTTGTCGATTTTTTTTTTTTTTCCCAATTTAATGAACATCTTTGGAGAGAATAGCTGTAGAAGATATTTCTTTTTACTACCCTGTTCATAATTCCTGAAATGCAGAACTTTGCAAATTCTAGGCTGGCGGCGTGCACTGCCAATGGCTGTGGTCAACATATTACATTATTTAGGTCAAGCAAAACATATGTTTTCCTCACAGACATCCTTACTTACTCATAACTCTGTCCAAAATTAAAAAAAAAAAAAAAAAAATGTGGGATGACAAAAATTTTATTTTATAATAAAATTAAATGATGCTAGCAGCCATGTTAAAATATTTATATATTTAAAAAAAAAAAAAAAAAGCAAACCTATAGGGTTGTGAAGTGAGGTTACATACTTTTTTGGTGCATGACCAAACTAAAATTGGCAGTGAACAGTGAGCATCTCTTTGTGGCAAATTTTTTATTTTATTTTTTTATTTTTTTTTGGTGGTGAGTTACCTTTACAGCTGAAAAAGATTTGTTAATCCAAAATCTAAATGCCCGCCACCCCCAAACAACAGGGAATCTGGCTCTTTCACACGCACAACACATACACGCATGCTTCCCAATAAATAACAAGGGACAGAATGTTGGGGCTGCTTGCTCCTGTCAGAATATGTCAGTCACTGGAAGCAGATCTGAACAGAAGACAGAGCCAGAAATCCTCTGTACAGTATGATGGGGACGGCACAAGGAGCAAATGATGAAAAAAAAAAAAAAAAAGAAAAAAAAAAATTAAAACGATGCACAGTTAGCAAATTCTCCTCCAGCTAAAGAAGGACAAAGAACAAAAGGAAGAAGACAGAAGTCTAGAGAAAGAGAGAACCACCTCAATTCAAATAGGTGTCACTGTTCAGAAGCCTGAGGCCTAAAGTCAAGTTGAGGCCTGCAGAACTTACTTCATCCATTCCCCTTTATAGCTCGTTGCCTTTGCAACAAAAGTTAAGTCCGGGACAGAACACATTGCCTCTTCCACATGGCATGTCTCTCTCTCGTTACTGGAGTCACTTTTTTTTTTTTATTTATTTTGTGATTTGATTCCCCCTTAACAGGTTTCCGTTTGTCAACTTTTATAGCAGTCATGTGTTCAGTCACGCGCACTTATTCTGTGCTTGCGTGAGTAGGTCAATGAAGGAGTCGAAGAGTTTTTTCGAGCCAAGGCTGGTTCCTCATGCACTGCTGAACAACCTCTTCTTGCCCCAAATCATCATTCTGCTCTTCTATTGCGTTGGTCTGTATAAGGGGAAGACAATGGTTATTAGATGAACTTTCCCTCATGGATGTCTGTGATTTATGAAAATACTTATTCTTGACAGTCAAGATTCTCATACAACGTAAAATCGAAACATAAGACATGCATTATTACACAGGGTTTATATACACTATATTGCCAAAAGTATTGGTCGGCCTGCCTTTCCGCACACATGAACTTTAATGGCATCCCAGTCTTAGTCCGTAGGGTTCAATATTGAGTTGGCCCCGCCCTTTGCAGCTATAATAGCTTCAACTCTTCTGGGAAGGCCGTCCACAAGGTTTGGAGGTGTCTATGGGAAGGTTGGACCATTCTTCCATAAGCAGATTTGTCAGGTCAGGCACTGATGTCGGGGGAGGAGGCCTAGCTCGCAGTCTCTGCTCTAATTCATCCCAAAGGTGTTCTATGGGGTTGAGGTCAGGACTCTGTGCAGACCAGTCAAGTTCCTCCACCCCAAACTCGCTCATCCATGGCCTTATGGACCTTGCTTTGTGCACTGGTGTGCAGTCATGTTGGAACAGGAAGGGGCCATCCCCAAACTCTTCCCACAAAGTTGGGAGCATGAAATTGTCCAAAATGTCTTGGCATGCTGATGCCTTAAGAGTTCCCTTCACTGGAACTAGGGGGCCAAGCCCAACGCCTCAAAAACAACTCCATACCATAATCCCCCCCTCCCACCAAACTTTACACTTGGCACAATGCAGTCAAGCAAGTACCATTCTCTTGGCAACTGCCAAACCCAGACACGTCCATCGGATTGCCAGACAGAGAAGCGTGATTCGTCACTCCAGAGAACACGTCTCCACTGCTTTAGAGTCAAGTGGCGGTGTGCTTTACACCACTACATCCAACGCATTGCATTGCACTTGGTGATGTAAGGCTTGGATGCAGCTGCTCGGCCATGGAAACCTATTCCATGAAGCTCTCTATGCACTGTTTTTGTGCTAATCTGAAGGCCGCACCAAGTTTAGAGGTCTTTAGCTATTGACTCTGCAGACAGTTGGCGACTTCTGCACACTGTGCGCTTCAGCATGCGCTGACCCTGCTCTGTCATTTCTGTTGTTCCCAGTTGCTTCCACTTTGTTATAATCCCACTAACAGTTGACCATGGAATATTTAGTAGCCAGGAAATGTCACGGATGGACGTATTGCACAGGTGGCAACCTATCATGGGACCACGCTTGAATTCACGGAACTCCTGAGAGTGACTCATTCTTTCAAAAATGTCTGTAGAAGCGGTCTGCATGCCTAGGTGATGATTTTATACTCCTGTGGCCATGGAGGGGATTGGAACACCTGAATCCAATAATTTGCAGGGGCTGGCCCTATACTTTTGGCAATATGGTGTATAGTCAAACTTGTCTCAAAAAGACCTATAAAAAGGCATTTGGATACAATTTGTAGAATAATCCATAATCTATATATATATATAACTGTCCCTCAATGGAAAATAAATATAAGCTGGCAATTAGAGGTACATTTTTACAATTAAAAAAAAACAAAAAACAAATATTTTACACTGGTTTAAAAAGAAAAGCTAGTAAATATAATTTTACTAGCTAAAATGAATTGATCTTTGAACAATTGGAGAACCTTCCCTGACAGAGGTATCGAACCTTTTGAATTTCCTGGGCCACATTGGAAGAAAAGTTGTCTGCAGCATAAAATACACAAACAATAAGGATAGCTGGTGAGCAGAAAAAGTTGGGCAGATCACAAGTTAACGATCATTGATATTGATAATGTACCTATCTGAGGAATAAAACTTCATGGTTATCATGGTTAAAAATTAATAGACCAATAGTGGACCAGTATTGGTCTACTAATTTTTAACCATGATAATAAATATGTAGATGTTTTGTAACTGATGTCTTTGGTAGGACCTTTAAAGTCCACATATGGGAAAAATATTTTCCCTTTATTTTTGGGCAATTACAAACACAATAATAATTCATATGCAATTTAAAAGAGTATTATATGATACAGTTTCTAATACAAATTAAACAGAATACTATGTTAATAAATAAACAAAAGACAACTAAAATGCTGTTGGCATTCGACAACCGGTCTAATTTAACAAGGGAAATATCTCAGCATTTTTATTAGCATAGCTTATACTAGACATGTGTAGTACATTTCATTCCAAATAAAAAATTTGGAATGAAAAAAATTTGGCATTCTTATGTAATACATGCTAAATTTAATAACACATATTAACCACTTCCAGACCGGACACTTTTACCCCCTTCCTGACCAGGGCAATTTTCAGCTTTCAGCGCTATCACACTTTGAATGACAATTGCGCGGTCATGCAATACTGTATCCATATGAATTTTTTTTTTACCATTTTTTTGGGACAGATAAAGCTTTATTTTGGTGGTATTTATTCACCGCTGGGATTTTTATTTTTTTTACTATGTAAATGAAAAAGTCCAAAAATTTTGAAAAAAATTGTTTTTTTTTTTTAATAACATTTGCAAATAAATAATATTTCATCATAAATCTTGGCCAAAATTTATTTCGTTATTTTTTTAGCAAAAAAAAAAAAATCCAAATTAGTTTATAACCAAAAATTATAATTTTTAAACATTTTTTTTTTACATTTTTATTTTATTTTTTTTATATTATTATTTTTTATTTTTATTTTTTTTTTTTTTACATACTGTCACCCTAGCAGTACAGTGTCACCATGGTGACACTGTACTACTTGTGGGGGGTGATGAAGATTTTTTTTTTTTTTTTTTTTTTTTTTTTACACTGATTGCTTTTACACCCATATAGGATGTAAAAGCAATCATTTCTCCTTCTCTCTGGCTGCATTCTTGCAGTCATTGAGAAGTACTGAGCGAGCTGTGATTGGTCACAGCTTGTCACATGGTACAAGGCTGATGTGAATAGCCTTGTACCATGTGACCTCTGTGATCATTCACAGATTTCACACGTAGTAAGCAATGATGTCACAAGTGACATCTTGCTTACTACTTTGCATGTGATCACTGATTGGCCAATCAGTGATCACATGATCGGGACCTCGTACAGAGGTCCCGTCCGACGATCGGTGTTTCACTGTGTCCGGAGGACACAGCGGGCAACGGATCGCGGTGGTGCGCGCTCCCAGGGAGCGCGCACAGCTAGAAAAGGCGGGTGCCGTTTATGAACGGCAACCCGCCCCTGGACTGCCACCGCCCTGCCGTTTAAAAAACAGCAGGCGGACGGCAAGAGGTTAAAACATTAAAAAGTATAAAGTATTAGTGACATTTGGCAAAAGAAGAAAAAAAATATGACTCCCCCCCCCCCCCCCCCCCCAAGAATTGTCTGTTAATAAAATCATTACATTTTTACAGTATCACACTCATATAAGCTGGATTCAAAGACGAGTCACCTACTTACCTCTTGCTTGCAACGTAGGAAGGTGTGATACTTGTAGTGATGCAAGGAATGGTACAAGGAGTAATAAAGTGACTTCTCAGCATCCACCTTGAATTCCTAGAAGAAAAAACAGAACATAGAGCAATGAACAGTGTGGAGGAACAGATAAGTAAACTATTTTTGGTTGGTACCGAGGTCTCAAATCTCAGACTTCCTACAAATTAGACGTTCTCTTGAAAATGGGCATCTCCTCTCTTAACAGCCATTTCCAGCACTGACGTCTTCAAATCAAGACACTCAAGTCAGAGTGACTAGGGGACCACTCCGTGAGCTGCACCAGGCATGTCCAACTAGTAGGAAACCCTGGCACAAACGTTGACAATGCTAGTGGGATTATAACGGGACTGGAAGGGCCTCATCTTTGGTTTGTTGAATGGAAGGTTTGATTGACCTAGTTTAGTCTGATATCCCAAAGAATTTTATTGGCAAAACCGGCCTAGAAATGGATGGATGCATGGCTGAAAATGTGATCACCGCAGAGCTTTCCATATTGTCCCTACCTGTGGTTTGGCTACATTCTTTTTTAGCTTGTTGAGTGTTTTTCGATTGTAAGGCTCCCCTCCAGGTTTCATCCTCACAGTAGACCCTGGTTCAGTAATTAGCTGTGGAAATGTGTGAAGTGCCTCCTAAAGGTAAAGAAAAGCAAGAATGAAAATATGTTTCCAAGCGTGAAGACATTAAAGTTGAACTCCGAACACTTCCAATAAACAATTCCAATAAATGCAATAAAAGTGTCCATTTAAAAACCATTGACATCCACAGATACATACCAAAATGGAATGGCAACTGTTTATAGCCCCCAGCTCAAGGGTCATAAGAGATCAACTGAAACATGCATGAGCATCTAAGTGTTCTGTACAAGTGTTACCTACCTCTGTCCTGTGAACTCCCCGAGAGGCAGCATATTTTCTCCCCCTCCATTCATCTCTCCTTCGGACCTTCTCCTTCACAAGTCCCTCAGACTACTTAGCTATTATCCCCCTTCTATCTTTTCCTTTTGGCCCCCTCCCCCAGCCAAGTCCTCTATTCATTATAGTTCAGGTTGTAAGTAACCCATACATACTTTCTTTTGTTTTACTGCTGACTTTTTTTATGTATTATCTGTATACCTATGGTGATGGCCATGTGACAACTTAAAGTGTTACCAAACCCAGGACCCTGCATTCACTATATCTGGTCTCCCCGGACCCTGCATTCACTATATTTGGTCTCCCTGGACCCTGCATTCACTATATCTGGTCTCCCCGGACCCTGCATTCACTATATCCGGTCTCCCCGGACTCTGCATTTACTATATCCAGTCTCCCTGGACCCTGCATTCACTATATCCGGTCTCCCCGGACCCTGCATTCACTATATCCGGTCTCCCCGGACCCTGCATTCACTATATCTGGTCTCCTCGGACCCTGCATTCACTATATCTGGTCTCCCCGGACCCTGCATTCACTATATTTGGTCTCCCTGGACCCTGCAATCACTATATCTGGTCTCCCTGGACCCTGCATTCACTATATCCGGTCTCCCCGGACTCTGCATTTACTATATCCGGTCTCCCCGGACCCTGCATTCACTATATCCGGTCTCCCCGGACCCTGCATTCTCTCTATCTGGTCTCCCACAGTACACAGAACATGGAAGTGCAATTATTTTAGTAAATATAAACTGCTAAATACCTTTTCTCATTAGCAGTATATAGCACTTGTGACACAGCTGATCACTTGACCGAGCCAATATCTTCGGCTCTTTCCCTGATCCGTGATTCGCTGTGTCCTAGGGACACAGCGCATCGGCGATCGCGGCGCTGCGCGCTCCCTGAGCCGTGCATGCGCGGTGAGAATGGTAGGACATCATATGACGTCCTATCAGAACCACCTTGCGCCCGTCATTGTACTATATGGCGGGCGGAAGGTGGTTAAAAGGTCTTCCTAGATACCAACAGTGCTGATATGAGTTCTTGTTGACTGGTGCATTTATTACTGGGTTACAACCAGGGGCGGACTGACCATTTGGAAACTCGGGCACTGCCCGAGGGCCTGGGGTCAGTAGGGGGCCCCATGAGATGCCCCTGGTACCTTTTTCATAGGCTTTTTTGAGTTTGGGCAAGGACACAGGGGCCCCAGGATCCCCTATTGCCCGGGGGCCCCATAAGTTGTCAGTCCGCCCCTGGTTACAACAAGTAACACGTCTTCCAAGGAGATGTACAGGCAAACAGATGCTGCTTGACGTCCTACCTGAACAGATGAACTCAGTGAAAACTTCTTCAAGACTTTCTTCTTATGTTCATTCACAATGCCATCAATTTTTCTCATGGGTGGGAGGTAAAGTTCATCTGGAGAGAGAACAGGAATATAAAATAAACAACCGTCAGCCGGTGACCTTGGGAATGTGTAGCAACCTAAAGCCAACAGCCTGACATTGTGCAGTGAGTCAGCAATACAATGAGACGTATTTGTGTCAGTCGAGAAAACCATATGGATTGCACTGCTCACATGAAAATGTATGCCACTGACATGACCAGACTGATCCAAGTAAAACTTTTTTTTCAAATCAAGACCAATCATTTTCCATATTAATTCACAATTTTTTATTATTTTTTTTAATATAAATTGGACATTAACCCCTTCACGCCTAAGGGTAAAACAAATCTAAATGCCTAAGCACAATTCTGCAACGTGTGTTAGTAAAACCGTCCATATCATCACAACTACTTTGCACATCCAGGTGGATTATACCTTGATTTTTTCAGGACAAATTGGGCTTTCATTTGGTGGTAAATGGTAATGGATAGCTCCTAATTTTTTTTTTTATTTTTAAAGGAGAACTGGCCCAAAATAGTAAAAAAAAAACATTTTTTTTTTTATTTAGCTGTGTGTTTCTTGTTACGACCATAACCTACCACCAAAGAAAACCCCAAAATAAATTCTCTAGCTCTTGACGATTGCAGCGATACCATATATGTGTATGTTATACACATGGGCAGCACAGTGGCTAAATGGTTAGCACTTCCACCTGCCAGTACTAGGGTCGTTGGTTCAAATCCCAGCCATGGCACCACCTGCCTGGAGTTTGCATTTTCTCCCTGTGTCTGCGTGGGTTTCCTCCGGGTACTCCGGTTTCCTCCCACACTCAAAAGACATGCTGGTAGGTTAATTGGATCCTGTCTAAAATTGGCCCTAGTATGTGTATGTATGAATGTGAGTTAGGGACCTTAGATTGTACGCCCCTTGAGGGTTAGGGACTGATGTGAATGTACAATATATATGTAAAGCGCTGAGCAAATTGATGGCGCTATATAAGTACCTGAAATAAAAATAAACAGTGGGTCCGACTTTGCAGAGGGACAACAAATCACATCCAAGTCTCACCTATCCAAAGTTACAAGGCGTTATACAAGTGTGAATGGAGCCTAATCGGGCAGCACAGTAGCTAAATGGTTAGCACTTCCACCTGGCAGCACTAGGGTCATTGGTTCAAATCCCAACCACAGCACCACCTGCCTGGAGTTTGCATGTTCTCCCTGTGCCTGCGTGGGTTTCCTCCCACACTCCAAAGACATGCTGGTAGGTGAATTGGATCCTATCTAAATTGTCCCTAGTATTTGTATGTATGATGTGAGTTAGGGACCTTAGATTGTACGCCCCTTGAGGGTTAGGGACTGATGTGAATGTACAATATATATGTAAAGCGCTGCATAAATTGACGACGCTATATAAGTACCTGAAATAAATAAATAAATGTTGTTTCTGCAGTCCAGAAACAATAGTGCACATTTTGTTTTGTTTTTTTGCCTAAAACACACTGACATTAACACTAACTGTCACTGATACCAAATTTTTTTTAAATCTTGACCTTTGACCCTGATCCAAACACTAACCCTGGCACTGAACTAGATCAAACCTTGATCTATGTATTTTTCTATATTTTTTATTTTGTTTTTTAATATTTATTTATTTATCTTCTTTTTTACAAACATTTTTTTTTCTCTCTATGCCAGGAGTTAGAAAAATACAATGTATCTCTCTCCTCAATTCATAGAGAGAGAAAAAACAAGGGGGCCGGGCTGCACAGTGACTGATCACTGTGATAGCCAATGAGAGGCTATCACAGCGACCACGTGACCCAGAATTGGGAGTCCCGGGTCCTGATCGTTAGAACAGGACTCGGTGCTCTCAGCGACATCGCGGTCTCTGTGCTGGGAGCGCGCCGAGCGGCGCGCTCCCAGCACAAAGACAGGTACGCAAATATGCAGCCCCACGGAAAAAAGCCCAGTTCTGTGAGGCCGCATATTTGTATGACGACAGCGGGAAGGGGTTAAAGGTACACTTGAGGCATGTGTGACATTTTTTCCTTTAAATGGACTTAAAGGGATACACTCTATGTTCTATGTAGCTTACTGCCGTGTTAGAAAAAATATCTTCGTCCAAATGGTGGAGGACTCTAAAGTAAAAACAAATGCCGTGTCCATAGGTTCGAGCATAGCCCTCTCTCCTAGCCATCAACAGACATTTACTGGAGCATTAGAGAGAGGTTGTGTCACACAGACAAGAGTTCGGTCTGTAAAAATCAGACAAATCAGCAGATATGAACCACATGCAGTGCATCCAGAAAGTATTCCAGCGCTTAACTTTTGCCACGTTTTGTTATGTTATATTACATTAAATTCATTTTTTCCTCAACATTCTACAAACAGTACCCCATAATGACAACATGAAAGAAGTTCGCTTTGAAATCTTTGCAATTTATTAAAAATAAAAAATGAAAAAACAAAATCATGTACATAAGTATTCACAGCCTTTGCCATGACACTCAAAATTGAGCTCTGGTGCATCCTGTTCCCATTGATCATCCTTGATGTTTCCACAACTTGATTGGAGTCCACTTGTGGGAAATTCAGTTGATTGGACATGATTAGGAAAGGCATAAACCTGTCTATAGAAGGTCCCACAGGTAACCGTGCATGTCAGAGCACAAACCAAGCAATGAGGTCCAAGGACCTCCGAGACAGGATTGTATCAAGGCACAGATCTGGGGAAGGGTACAGAAACCTTTCTGCAGCATTGAAGGTCCCAATGAGCACAGTGGCCTCCATCATCCATAAATGGAAGAAGTTTGGAACCACCAGGAATCTCCCTAGAGCAGGCTGCCTGGCCAAAATGAGCGATCAAGGGAGAAGGGCCTTAGCCAGGGAGGTAACCAAGCACCTGATGGTCACTCTGAAAGAGTTCCAGCATTTCTCTGTGGAGAGAGGAGAACCTTCCAGAAGAACAACCATCTCTCAGCACTCCACCAATCAGGCCTGTATGGTAGAGTCGCCAGACGGAAGCCACTCCTTAGTAAAAGGCAAATGGCAGCTCGCCTGGAGTTTGCCAAAAGACACCTGAGGGACTCTGAGACCATGAGAAACTAAACTCTCTGGTCTGATGAAACAAAGATTGAACTCTTTGGCCTGAATGCCAATCGTCATGTCTGGAGGAAACAAGGCACCACTCACCACCTGGCCAATACCATCCCTACAGTGAAGCATGGTGGTGGCAGAATCATGCTGTGGGATGTTTTTCAGCGGCAGGAACTGGGAGACTAGTCTGGATTGAAGGAAAGATGAATGCAGCAATGTACAGAGACATCCTTGATGAAAACCTGTTCCAGAGAGCTCTGGACCTTAGACTGTGGCGACGGTTCATCTTTCAACAGGACAACGACCCTAAGCACACAGCCCACATAACAAAGAAGTGGCTACGGGCCAACTCTTTGAATGACCTGGCCCAGCCAGAGCCCAGACTTGAACCCAATTGAACATCTCTGGAGAGATCTGATATTGGCTGTGCACCAACGCTCCCCATCTAACCTGATGGAGCTTGAGAGGTACTGCAAAGAAAAATGGGAGAAATTGCCCAGAAATAGGTGTGCCAAGCTTGTAGCATCATACTCGACTCGAGGCTGGAATTGGTGCTAAAGGGGCTTCAACAAAGTATTGAGCAAAGGCTGGGAATACTTATGTACATGGGGTTATTTTCATTTTTTATTTTTAATAAATTGCAAAGAATTCAAAACGAACTTCTTTCACGTTGTCATTATGGGGTATTGTTTGTAGAATGTTGAAGAAAAAAATTAATTTAATCCAATTTTGGAATAAGGCTGTAACACAACAAAATGTGTCAAAAGTTAAGCGCTGGGAATACTTTCTGGATGCACTGTATAGCTCAGAATAAACAAAGATAATTGCATTTACTGTGTGTCAGTCATATAGGTACAATGTACCCATCTGAGATGGATATATACAGGGCTTTTTTCAGCTGGACATGGTGGAACTTCGTTCCACCACCTCTGGCTTAGGCATATGCTCCTTGCTCACCACTTCATCACTTGTAAATGCAGATGCTGGACTTCTGTCTTTACAAGTGACAGTTTGTCTTCCAGAGATCTGATCTCCTGAGCAGCTCCCACTGAGGGCAGGATGGGGACAAGGGAGATGCAGGTGCCCGGGGTGCAGTGCTTATGCAAAACCCCACTGGAAGATCTCTCTGCAAGTAAGAGGTGGAGCCACCTACAGTGTGCAGGAGGTACTACAGACAGCTGGGTGCTTCAGCTTAATAGAGCAACAAAAGTAAGATACCTGGAAGATGGCAGAGCTTTTTAGGAGGGGAAGAGGGGGTGGAGAGGATGGGGACAGTGAAAGGGGGGTTGCATGCAGAGGTCATAGCTAAAGAGGGTGAAAGCGAGATGTGGATGGGGGATGCAGAGATAAGCAGCTGAGGAAGAAGGCTGAACTCTTTAATTTGTATGCAGCACACCCCTAAACTCTGCACTCTGTATGCTGCGCACCCCTGAACTCTGTACCTGTATGCATAGCACATGCCTGAACTCTGCACATAGTGATCCCTGAACTCTGCACGTAGTGATCCCTGAACTCTGCACTCTGTATGCAGCGCAGCCCTGAACTCTGCACTTTGTACATAGCACATGCCCGAACTGCACATAGCGACCCCTGAATCTGCACCCTGTATGCAGCACATGCCCGAACTCTGCACGTAGCGACCACTGAACTCTGCACTCTGTATGCAGCACAGCCTGAATTCTGCACTTTGTACACAGCACATGCCTGAACTCTGCACATAGCGACCCCTGTACTCTGCATGCAGCGCAGCCCTGAACTCTGCACATAGCATATGCCCAAACTCTGCACATAGCAACCCCTGAACTCTGCACTCTAAATGCAGCACCCCTGAATTCTGCACTCTGTACACAGCACATGCCCAAACTCTGCAAGTAGCGACCCCTGAACTCTGCACTCGGTATGCAGCACATGCCCGAACTCTGCACGTAGTGACCCCTGAACTCTGCACGTAGTGACCCCTGAACTCTGCACTCTGGTATGCAGTACATGCCCGAACTCTGCATGTAGCGACCCCTTAACTTTGCACTCTGCATGCAGCGCAGCCCTGAACTCTGCACTCTGTATATAGCACATTCCCAAACTCTGCACATAGCGAACCCCTGAACTCTGCGCTCTGTATGCAGCGCAGCCCTGAACTCTGCACTCTGTACACAGCATGCACCCAAACTCTGCACGTAGCGACCCCTGAACTCCGCATGCAGCTCAACCCAGAATTCTGCACGTAGCAACTCCTGAACTCTGCACTCTGTATGCAATGCAGCCCTGAACTCTGCACTTTGTGTTTCCCCCTAGAACCCATTGCACAGAGCAGGTAAGCATATCATGTTTGTTATTTTTAAAAAATAAAATTTGATCCTTTACAATCACTTTAGGTTAATGCAGCCTGCCCCTAAAAAACCTGCAGGCAGTAGAATCAAGAAAACATATTAGGAAAGCTCATTACTCACCACTAGTATCTTCCAATGCCTGAATCATATCTGGGTCCAATGCAGTGCTGACCAGCATTTCTATATAACTGCGGTACATCTCCTTCATTGCTCTTGTGTTCAATACCCGGCCCACACAGGAACACGTTCTAGAAAGACAAAAGAGCTTTATAAAGCCCCTATATCACTGTACAGATCCATGTTTTACCGTCAACAAGGCTAGCAAGTAAAATTGTTCTCTTTTATCTTGTTAGCATATAAATGGACCTGTGATCCCTTTTCTTAGGTCCATAGCATCAAAGCTAAAGAGGTCTTTTGCTTTCAGACAGAAAGTGGAAGCTTTTATAGTATAAAGGCAAACATTCCTTTAGATTTAACATCCAAGATTTATTTTTATGTTCACTATTCTGGTATGCGAATGAAGGAAAGAGAATTGGGAAGGGACAGAAAATGTAAGAGATCAACCAACAAACTACAGAAACATTTTTCAATAGCCTTCTGAGGCTTGGTTGTGTCTCAGTATCTCATGAAGGACCATAAAGGGCAGCTTAGTGGCTAAATGGTTAGCATTTCCACCTGGCAGGACTAGGGTTGTTGGTCTGAATCCCAACCACGGCACCACCTGCCTGGAGTTTGCATGTTCCTCTGTGCCTGCGTGGGTTTGGGTTTGAATCCCAGGGTTGTTGGTTTGAATCCCAACCACGGCACCACCTGTCTGGAGTTTGCATGTTCCTCTGTGCCTGTGTTGGTTTGAATCCCAGGGTTGTTGGTTTGAATCCCAACCACGGCACCACCTGCCTGGAGTTTGCATGTTCCTCTGTGCCTGCGTGGGTTTCCTCCAGGTACTCCGGTTTCCTCCCACACTCCAAAGACATGCTGGTAGGTTAATTGGATCCTGTCTAAATTGGCCCTAGTATGTGTATGTATGAATGTTTGTTAGGGACTTTAGATTGTACGCCCCTTGAGGGTTAGGGACTGATGTGAATGTACAATATATATGTAAAGTGCTGCGTAAACTGAGGGCGCTATATAAGTACCTGAAATAAATAATAAAGGATGCATTACCCCTAAATTGCCATGAGGTGGTGCCATATGCTTTCAGAGAGCAACATGCTGCTAATTCATTGCTGCCATGAAATGGGTCTATGTGACACACTGCACATTCAGCTGCTTTACCAGCGACAAAATCACTAACAGGAAAAAAGGAAAATGACCCCACAGAGTCGCTCCTTCTACATTGCTATCAGGGACTCATTGCTCTGCTGCTGCTTCCTTGCTAACACCTGAGGCCATCATCACTGCAGCAGCATTTGGGGCAGCGACTAAGACATCCAAGAGAGATAATGCAAGATGAATTTTATTAAGTCCAAATCCCGTGTCACACACCCCTTTGGGTCAATCTCAAGTAAGTAACAACCTTTAGGACCCATTTTCACCAGCACCATTACGATGCAGTGTCACAATGCGCAGGGTCCACTCTTATTTTCTTGAAACAGTGGTTGTTGGTGAACGTCACTGCGTATTGTTGTCCTACTTAATCTGGATTGAATGACCCAGGTTTTTTCCCAACACTGAAGAGATAGCCCAAAGCTCCATAACGTTTATCAGATGAGACCCCTTTTTACAGCAAGATTCCTGAGCCACCAAACCAGGTATGTCCTGGTCATTGGCATCAAGCGAATCCCATGACAACAGAATGTTGTGTTGCACATGCCAGAAATAAAAATTGGGTAATGGTAACTGCCTCAAAGGAGGCTGCCATCAGTCCCATGGCTCCCATGAAGAAGCGTGTGATAGCCTCTTCCAGATGGCATTTAAAATGGAGACCAGAGATTCTGGATTTTCTTCTGTGGAAGGAAAACGCTGATCTAAGACATGTCCAGGACCAGACTCAGATACCGCAAGGGATGAGCCAGTTCCAGAGATGATTTCTTAAGCACCAGGATCCACCCAAGCTTCTATAACATTTGAACAGTTAGATATTCATTATCTAACAGAGCACTCAACATATGTTCCATCACCAGGAAATCATCTAAAGTATTCCACATTGGGGATGCTACAGTAATGCAATGGGGCCAACATTGGAGCCATCACCTTGGTAAACACCCAAGATATAGAGGCGGCCAAAAGGAAAGGCCACAAAGTGTAGTGTAGGGGACCCACAGCAAAACATAGAAATCACTGATGAACTGGTCAGGTGGACACATGCAATTAGCATCTTTGATGTCCACAGAAACCATAAAGTCTCCTTGGTGTAGGACAAGCGTATCAAACTTAATTTTATTGTGTGCCACATCAGCAATATGGTTGCCCTCAAAGGGCCGGTTGTATCTTTGTAAATGTATCTACTCTTTATCATATTAAATGATTGCCTCTTCTTTTGATTATATACTGGTCTTAGTAATAACTTCAGTCTTAAGCTGTGAAGGCAAGGTGCAGACCGCACGGGGCCCACTCACACTTTTGTAGCAGATGATGCTAGTCTGAGAAGGAGTGTTGGGCCAAAATAAAGGGAAAATGGCCAAAGATGAGCCTTTCCACGGCTGCACAGAGAAGTGCAGGATCTGTCAAAGGAGTTCTGTCCTCCTCTCTGCTGCCGACTGCTGAGCCAAGTTTAGGGTAGAGACAGGGGCGGACTGACCATTTGGAAACTCAGGCACTGCCCGAGAGCCCGGGGTCAGTAGGGGGCCCCATGAGATGCCCCTGGTACCTTTTTCATGGGCTTTTTTTGAGTTTGGGCAAGGACACAGGGGCCCCATGATCCCCTATTGCCCGGGGGCCCTGTGAGTTGTCAGTCCACCCCTGGGTAGAGATGAGGCAACTGCTGCAGGAGAGGGGAGGGGGTCACATAGAATGGCCTGGCCTTGTATTTGTCACATGTGGTGTAGGAAGTTGATGACTTATCTGGTGGCCTTCATTCAGAATCTTTCAGACTCAAATGTAAACATTCTAAGCCTTGAGATCTAAGATGGAGAAAATGCCCCCTCAGATTTAGAGTGTGTCAAAGAAATATCCTTGGAACTGTTGTGCCGCAGGGAGCAATGGCACCTTGAGTTAGAAAACTGAACAGGAAGAGACACAGGAATATTAGAGAAGAGAAGGGAACAAACTTGAGGTTGTAGCCCTGGGACATCACCTCCTGCACTCAGGCATCTGGAATGCAAGCTGCCTAAGTGTCAGTAAAAGTCGACAGATTTCTCCCACTCTGAAAAGTGAAGCCGCACCTTCATGCAAAAGAAAACTTGTCTGAGGAATTGGCAGGCTTGCAAAGCTAGACTTTGCAAGTGGATGAGTAATGAAGCTTTGAAGGTCTCGATGTTGAAATCAAGGAAGTGGGGAAATGAAAAGGAGGTTTCCTAACAGACGAAGAGGGAGAAGACTTCATAATCTTCTCCTTGGGAACATGGGTGCTCTTGCAGCTAGTACTATCCTAGATCATGTTATCAACAGCTGGTTTGAAGAGACATTATTCCTGGAAGGCCATGTAGATCAAACACTTCTTGAACAAATGTTCTGCAGTTCCTTTAGCCAAAGCGTCCTTCGTGTATTCACCAACATAAGGCACATGAGAGAGTTGGCAAACCACTGCAGCTAAAATGTAATGCAGCATACATCTGCTCCATACAATCAATGAGCAAGAAAACAACCTTAGTAGTGTAAAGATTTTTTTAAGGGATTTTGAGCAGTTAGTAATGATTTTAAAGTCACAGCCAGGATCAGGTGTAGAGCAGGACCTGCCAACAAGAACAGAGCTCCAAAATGATATTCCAACCATGTGGTGGTTGGGTCCCTAAAGACAGGTGCATTCTCCACTTTTAACTTATTAAAGTTAAGAAAGGGCAGGATCAACAGTGGGAAGAGACCACGTCTGAACAAAATTCTCACAAAAACAGATGCATTACTAGTGTGTGCTTGGGGGGGGGGGGGGGGGACATACAACTTTTCAGGGTTTTTCTAATCTCCACTTAGAAAAAGTTGGAAAAGCATGTGCAAAGTGAAAGTCTTTGTCGCCTTTGGAATTTTAAATGACCCAAGGCTAGAAACAGTAATGGTAAAAGCAACAGGCTTGTTCTGCGGCTCAGGGTGGTGCACACTGCATCAGTAGCAGCTAAAACAGTCTCTTGTAATTCAAGAGTAATGGCAGAAGATTGTGACTCTTCAGTCAAAGACTTGAATGACTCAGAATCAGACAGTCTTTTCAGCCCATAGTTCAGACGTGGCTAAGGTTGCTAAGGACTTCAGGCTACATTTTTGACACAACAACACATCAGCAGGGGTGCTGCAAGCAGCCCCAGAGATGTTAGTAGAAAGTGAACTGGGAGCACCCAATAGAGTGGATACAAAGGATAAAAGCATATGGGCCACTGATACCACCAGTGAAGAATTGAGACAAGCCTTAGCACTTTAATTCAAACTTTGCTAAATATTGTACATTTTCATAACGATTTGTGTTTGAATTCATAATTTGCCCTGCTCTACTAAAAGAAACCAGAAAGAATGACACCCAGCAGTACACACATAATGAGTATATTTGTAAAACAAAAAAAAATTTAGCTTCCTACCTTCTTCGCTCTGCTGGTCAGGGGAGGAGTCTGAATCAGAGGACGATACCACCTCTTTTAGCCATTTTTTCCTTTTCTTCGGTGGTGGTTCAGCCTTCACTTTTGTGGGCTTCTGCTTGGGTTTCAGTGCAACTTTAGGAGCAGGTGGATCCACTTTATCCACTTTTTCAACCCTTGTGTGTTTTTCAGTTTTCTCCTTCACCGACCTCTCATTTCTATCAACTCGGTCATTCCTCGTCACTTTTTCCAACTTTGGTGATTTTTCTATCCTTTCCAGCTTAGGCATCTTTTCAGGTCTCTCGGACTTATCAGTCTTTGAAGGTCTATCTGTCCTGGGAGTCTTGGATGCTCTCTCAGCTCTGGTAGGTTTCTCTGGCTTTTCTACTTTTGTATGTTTCTCTTTTTCTGCCCTGGGTGATCTATCCATTCTCTCAGTCCTGCTTGGTTTCTCTGAACGTTCCACCTTCCCAGCCTTGTCTGCACGGTCTCCCTTTGCATGTTTGTCCAACTTTGGAGGTTTTTCAGCTTTCTCCGTCCTCACCACCTTTTCTTCTGTAGGCTCTTTCTCAAGTTTCTTCACAGCTTCCACCTTTGGGGTGGGTTTCAACGATTCTGGCTTTGGCTGCTTCTTCATTGCATCATTCTGTTCAATTCTACTGGGTGTCTCCATTTTTTCAGGTTTCCTCACCCCTTCCTCTTTGTCCGGTGCTTCCAAAACTTCCTCTTTACTTGGCTTTTCAGATGGTATGCTGGTCTTCCCAACACCTTCAGCCTTTTTAGCCTTTCTAGGAATTTCTAACTTCTCTGACTTAACGGCAAGTTCTGGCTTTTCTGGTTTAAAGGCTGGAGTATTTTTCTCCAATTTTTCATTTTTATCTTGTTTTACTGAAACGGTTGGCTTTACAACAGGTTCTGTCTTTTCTTGCCTAGATCCTGGAGTACTTTTGTCTTGTTTTAAAAATGCGGTCTAACTTTTCATGTTTAGCAGCAGTGGAGCTCTTTTCAGGCTTTACAACGCGCTCTAACTTTTCCTGTCTGGCTGCTTGACTAACTTCTTCTGACTTCACACCAAGGTCTAGCTTTTCCACCTTTCCAGCAGCAGAAACCTTATCTGCCTTCAGAGTAAGCTCTTGCTTTTCGGGTCTTGCCACATGGACACTCTTTTCGCTTTTCGAAGTGACATCTAGCTTTTCCGATTTTGCCACCGGTTCGACTTTGTCAGGTTTGATCATGGATTCTGTTTTTTCTGGTTTTGGTATCAGCTCATTGTTTTCTGCCTTGATCACTGGCTCAACCTTCTCAGGTTTAACCACAGGTTCAGACTTGTCTTTCTTCCCCAAATTCTCAGGGATGTCCCTCTCCTCGACCAGTTCTTCCTTGTCATTTAGTAGCACTGAATCAGTCTTTACGATGGTCTCAATTTTTTCCAACGTTTCGCCATCTTCTATGGCTGGTTCCTGTACTGCATTGGTTGTGACATTTTGCGGTTCCGGTTCTTCATTAGTAGTACACTTTTCAGGTTGCTGGATGTTTTCCTGTTTCTCAATGGTCGCCTCTTCTTCTTCAACGTTATCAGGTCTCTCAGTGCTTTCTGTCATTTCTACCTTCTCTATTGCCTCCAGTTTTTCAGGTCTCTGAGTGGTATCCACTCGTAATGGACGATCCATTTTCTCACACTTCTCTGGCTTAGCAACTGCCACAGGACTTTTAGCTCCAGGGGCTTTTGTTTGACTTTGCCTCCTGTGAAACAAAAAATAAACACACTAGTGGTACACTTGGGATAGATTCAAGAAACACTGGTGTAAAATTTAAATGTGGAAATTAAAGATGAAACTATAAATTGGTTTTATTCAGCCTTATTTTACTGGTATTATAGTTTTAAAGTTTAGAAACTCATTTTAAATAGATGAAATAAAATGTATTTATTTTCCAATTCATAGTTTAAATTTTTTTTTTTTTTATGTCAGGGTATACCCAAAACAGTTTGCAATATCAAACAAACCACTCCACGTTGACCTCAGCTGTTATGCCCATCCATAGTGGCTGGGTTATGGTACAGTTCACCTTGTCTGCAGATAAATACTAGGAATACGAAGGATTCCCTGTACAATGTAAAACTTTTTCATAATTAAATAAAAGGCATAGGATAGTTAATAAACTAAGAAAAAAAGTTTTCTACTATTTGGTTGTGCAAGACATCCTTAATACTCCTAGTTTGCAAAGGATGCTAGGCTTTCTAATAAGAAAGTCAAACACTACCTGCATGGTGTTTTAACCACTTCCAGACCGGACACTTTCACCCCCTTCCTGACCAGGGCAATTTTCAGCTTTCAGCACTATCACACTTTGAATTACAATTGCACGGTCATGCAACACTGTACCCAAATGAATTTTTTTACCATTTTTTTGAGACAGATAAAGCTTTATTTTGGTGGTATTTATTCACTGCTGGGATTTTTATTTTTTTTGCTATTTAAATGAAAATGTCCAAAAATTTTGAAAAAAAGTTTTTTTTTTATAAAATTTTGCAAATAAATAATATTTCATCATAAATCTTTGCCAAAATTTATTCCGTTATCTTTTTAGTAAAAAAAAAAAAAATACAAATTAATTTATAACCAAAAATTATAATTTTTAAACATTTTTTTTACATTTTTATTTTATTTTTTTATATTATTACTTTTTATTTTTATTTATTTATTTTTTTTTTACATACTGTCACCCTAGCAGTACAGTGTCACCATGGTGACACTGTACTACTTGTGGGGGGTGATGAAGATTTTTTTTTTTTTTTTTACACATTGCTTTTACACCCATATAGGATGTAAAAGCAATCATTTCTCTTTCTCTCTGTCTGTATTCTTGCACTCATTGAGAAATACTGTGTGAGCTGTGATTGGTCACAGCTTGTTACATGGTACAAGGCTGTTGTGAATAGCCTTGTACCATGTGACCTCTGTGATCATTCACAGATTTCACACGTAGTAAGCAATGATGTCACAAGTGATATCTTGCTTACTACTTTGCATGTGATCACTGATTGGCCAATCAGTGATCACATGATCGGGACCTCGCACAGAGGTCCCGTCCGACGATCAGTGTTTCACTGTGTCCGGAGGACACAGCGGGCACCGGATCGCGGTGCTGCGCGCTCCGAGGGAGCGCGCACAAGCAGGGTGCGGGGAGGCCGTTTATAAACGGCCACCCGACCCTGCACTGCCACCGTCCGGCCGTTTATATGCAACGGCCGGTCGGGAAGTGGTTAAAGTAAAACTATGGCCTCCCATGAAAAAAAAATATGTGCTTCAGTATGTAACCATTTCACTTTTGCAGATGTAAGGAATATCTATATCGGGAGAGAAACCCAGACTGACTGTGTGTGCGCTATATGTCCACATCCCAGCAAATCATGAAAAAATATGTAGTCATGGACTTTGTGTGGACATATAGAAGAGAAATGGAGTACCATAAAAACAACTTTATTATGTACCATTAGGAATTAAAAATTACTCTCCACATAGGGGTTCACAATATGCACAGATTCTGATTATAGTTTGCATGTGGACTAGAAGCATATCGGGAATCCTTCTTCAAGAGCACGTGTGACAGAATCCGTACACTGGAACCAACTCCTCATCTTTAATAGAGTAATATCAGCCTATAGGGTAGACTGGCATTCATAGCATGTGCATGTTGCCCATCATCAAGGTACAAATGAGTAAGCCAAGATGAAGCCACTGCCCCTCGGGTGGGAAATTCAGGTACATTCAGTAAACCAAGACCAGTGGTCTTGTATACATAATCTTAAAATAGAAGGACCAACTTCCAATGGGGAACCATCCAGACCCATTGTAAGTAAGTCACCATAAGACAGCATGGCAGTCAACGTAGTCAAGGCACATACAGTCAGGTCCATAAATATTGGGACATCGACACAATTCTAACATTTTTGGCTCTATACACCACCACAATGGATTTGAAATCAAACAAACAAGATGTGCTTTAACTGCAGACTGTCAGCTTTAATGCAAGGGTATTTACATCCAAATCAGGTGAACGGTGTAGGAATTACAACAGTTTGCAGTATGTAAACTGTTGTAATTCCTACACCGTTCACCTGATTTGGAAGTAAATACCCTCAAATTAAAGCTGACAGTCTGCAGTTAAAGCACATCTTGTTTGTTTCATTTCAAATCCATTGTGGTGGTGTATAGAGCCAAAAATGTTAGAATTGTGTCCATGTCCCAATATTTATGGACCTGACTGTATATTCTAAAGAGAAGGCTTGTGATATGCATCTTAAAAACTAACTCAGTTCACATAAAACCAGCCTGTGCATGCTAAGACCAGCCACACAGGCTTGATTGGTGTGAATTGATGTGAACAAATTTTGCTATTTGTAGATGGCAGTCATTCCCAAACCTGATCTATTGTCTACCAAGTGCTCCTATCCCTGAAAGAGGAAACAACTAGCAATTTCAGAAGGAGATCAGAACTGGCAGAGCCCATAATTTACATACTACAAGATCCAATATTAAATATGATAAGTGGTCCATTATGTCTGCCCCATTACATTTAATTTTTTTTACAGCTTGGAGTATAGATCAGTGTTTTTTAGCCTTTTTAAGAATCTGATGAAAGCTGTCAATCCCCTCCCCATTTATTAGATGATACAAATTTAAATGGTAAACTTGGGCCAAAAACAAGTCAAGAGATGCTTAGCAGTTGGCGCTATAAGCAGTGGCAGGGTTCTTTTTCTTTCATTTCTTTCAATGGAAAACCCTTGATAGCTACAAGGGGGAGGGCTGTATAATAAATGCAAATTTTATTTTTTATCTGACCCTTGCGAACCCCCTGAAAAAAGTCCATGGACCCCAGGTTAAGGACCCCTAGGTTTGACCTAAGTGTGTTTAAATCCACTTACTGTTGACTTACTCGCTATCTCTGTAGGAAACCCATTCCAAGCTACAACTTCTCTTTCAGTAAATTCCTACTTTCTATGATTAGTTTGTACTTCCCCCTAGTAGTCTGAGGTTACGTTAGGTTGAGGTCATGTCCTTGTTTACTCAGCAAGTAGTTTGCTTAGGCACCTCTAATACTAACTTGAAAAAGTGACTATTTGGAGTTATGAAAGATTAAGTTTTGTGTACAGTAAACTTTAATGTCTGATCCTTGGATGGACCAATTTCCTGTCCTGGAGATCAACAGGATATTAGTAGGAATCAGTGAGGAATTCCATTCTTAGAC